GCAAATTTTCAATAAAATTCAAGTGCTAAATTCTTGTTACATAAGCTGAGGTAGCAGACAACTAATTGATTCAAGTGGTGTGAGCGACACGGTGACTTTTGGTTGTTTGAATGTCGTTGTTATTAAGCTGCCATTTTATACGAAACACAATTGAATGTTATAAAATTTTTCCATGAAACAGATACATACGTTTACTTCGTATGTTATTTTATTGCCTCCTGCATCGTGATTACTATCACCTAATGTCTCGACATTTTCCAAATCCTTTTTGAGTTATTTTTGTGTCACTCACAAGTTCTTCAAGAACATGAACATCACACCTAATGTTTTAAAAAAAATTATAAATTAATTACTTAACACCACTTACTGAGGTACATAAACTATTTTGTAATATATTATTAAGTATATAAAGCCATTGCGGTAGTAAGATAGAAAAAAATCGCAATAAGGATATCTGTGGTCTATAGGTTTTGAAGTGAACAATAAGTGAAAATTGGTGGTTCACTTATTGTTATAAAAGTAAAATAAAGTAATAGTTATCACGTCCATTATTATTTTTCATTACGAATTTTTCTGTGGTAGGGCCACTCCAAAGTATTAGCTGTTGCACGATTGGGCAGGTCTCTCGGGGTAGTAGGTATCGCGAATTGAAGAGGTATATTCTTTTTATCAAATAAGCATGTTTTTTTTTATCTCTATATATTAAAAAAGGAATCGATGAATGTGTTGCTAAGCGCAAATCTCGAGAACAGCTGAACCGATTTCGATAATTATTTTTTATAATATTTCTTGAAGTACGAGGATGGTTTTTACGGAGGAAAAAATTAAAAAATTGCCTGAAAAAGTCTTAAAACGACACTTTTCTATATTCCTATACATAAGATTCGTAATAATACTTAAAAGTCAATTTGAACTTTAATACCATACCATATAGTTTGTTAGTGGAGGGGTTCCGGGAAGGCAAAACAACTAAGTGACGTTAGTATCGAATAAATATTAATATTATAAACGCGAAAGTTTATATGTATTTGTTATAGTTTGTTACTCTTTCACGCCAATACTACTGAATGGATTTTAATGAAACTTATAGCTTATACGTCAGAATAAGACATAGGCTATAACAACATACATACATATTAAAAATACAACAAAGTTTTGACAGAAAAGTTTCAAATTTATTCCAGAAAAATACATGTCTCGTGTAGCTGTTACATACTTTTTGTTAGTTTATGTGACAATCGTTAAGGAATTCAATATATAATCATTTATAGAATATTAGACATTTCTTATCATAAGCTGACAAGCCTGGTGTAGCTAACGTCATTGTATTGCAATAATCATTGTCATCAATTCTCAATCAAAGTGAACAAAATTGGAAATTATTTCTCCATGGTAGCGAGTACCCATCAAACCAAGGCTCTCATATGGTCAAGAAAAAAACCTTACATCGAACTATCAAAGCAATAAATTCTTAAAGTAGCATTTCATACTCTCTCTCAGCCATCGCGGGTTGCAGACTACGAAAATCCCAATTCAAAATCAGAAAGCTTTCCAATCTCCATTATTTTTTTTAATTAAATTATTTTGCAATATTAATTGTGCTATTAGATCGAATTTTCGTCATCTTTATATTGATTAAACAATCTTAGAACCGTTAGTTCGGGAATACTGACGTTTAAATGTCAGAGTGGGGGTTAACCGAGCATCTAGATGACCAAGACCACAAGCATGCAAACATGCAAGCCAAACTTCAATAGGAGAATTTACTGCACGAGGCATGCCTAAATGGCTTAAACATCCAAACACGGAAGATCCAGGAAATGCAAGCTGAAGGAAGGATTTTATTTACCACAGTTAATTAGTAGTCTTGGAACATATGGAAGATGTAAAGAAATTACTCACGTTCATAGTGTCGTGTCGGAATTTGATGACTCTGTGGCGCAGTTGTCAACTTATTGGCTTCGGCATCGCGGTCGTGGGTTCGATCCCCACATGGAACTATGTGTGTGACCCGCAGATAGTTGTTTCGCATCTGGTTGTTTGTTCACGTAAAATTCATGTTTGTAAAACGTCTTTACAACACAGAACAATGTTCAATGAAACAATCAGAAACAATGGAATTAGAGGAGTGCTAAACTCCGGCTATAACTTTTTCATTCATACTCTAAATACAAAATTATTTTTGAATAAATATCATTTAAAAATATCTTATCTTGTAACTAACTGATTTGTATTTACAGTGATAACGACACAAGATGGGGCGAGATCAAACCTTTTCTTATTTGAATAGAATTGTATAAAATTATATTTTTTTATATGAAAGATGTCAAGCGGGTGATTGGTGGTTCACCTGACGTTAAGTGAATACCGTGGTATGCAGATGCGGTGACGACCTTTTTGAAAATTGGGCTCCGGCTACCTCACTCTACAGACAAAACGCGAAAGTATTATACTTTCACTTCACGCCGGTCTTCTGTGAGGTCGTGGTACTTACCCAAACGAGCCTGCCCATTCGTGCAACAGCTGCGTCGAGGCTGCTGCGTATCTCCGCAACAGTTAAAATATAACAAGCTTCGCTTTTATGGAAACAAATTAACACTAAACTAACCTACAAATATCTCTTATAGGTTGTTAAAAACGTATAAAACCATACGTAATTTAATTTAAAACTACCTGAATGTTATCCTAAAACTTCACAATATACATATGCGAAAATTTCCTGTGAAAACTAATGCCCGATTTCTATATTAACAAACCGAGGCATTTTCTTTACGAGCCGTTGCATTACCTACGGAGTGAGTTACAAGCGTTCCTTTAATCTACAAGTCGTTATGAAAGTTACGAAGGTATGTAACTAACGGCCGTTCGTTGAATATAGGAACCGGGCGTATTAGTACAACACGTTCATTCCCGTAGGCAGCCAAAGACAATGGAGCGCCTCTTTGTACATTCTTGACATACTTCTATCGCTTCGTTCGCACACTATTATCCTTTTCATAAACGATTTTTTCTAACCTTACCTAAGCTTCTTTTAAAAAGGTCCTTCAAATACACCGGCGCAGCCTACGTCCTTCTAGATCACAAATTCTCTGGTCTCATTTTAAAAATACTCAGGAACGTTCTGTTTACCACATTTTAAAGTTAACATTTTTGTAATAATTTTCACCTTTCTTTGTTAACATATATTGCTCAATGTTTTTGCTGTCGGTCTCATTAATTGACAGCATCCCTCTTAATGAGACTCATATAATTTAACGTATAAAGGGGTAAATCTTCGGTGGTAGGGCCAAGCAACAGTGTTTGCCGTTGCACGAATGGGCAGGTCCGTCCGGGTTAGTACCACGACCTCACAGAAGACCGGCGTCAAGTAGAAGTGTTACACTTCTGCGTTTCGTCTGGTGAGTAAGGGAGCCCACTTCATTAAGAAGTGGCAATGCATCTACAACCCTACGCGTATTGCAACTGTCCATAGGCAGGCGATTATACTTAACATCAGGTGAACCGCCAACTCGTTTGCCACTTTCTCACATAAAAAAGGCGGTAGTATATAGATTTGCCGATTTATAAAGTTTTTCAAACATATTATTTTCATCATTATAGACATACCATGCGAATTTATTTCAAAATGTTTGTGTTTTTGATCAAGTAAGATCAAAAGATCACGGGACCAATTCAAAGTAATTCTTATGTTAGGTATATTAGACCCATGTATACCAAAATGATTTTCTTAATTTTACTGTTACTTAAGTTATTTGATATTGCTAATCGCAGAAATATATAAGATTTATAATTTACAAAGTTTTGGCGGTACCCAAAAGGAAAAGACAAAAGATTTTAATTTACGATCTTCGTACTATGAAAAAAAATTAAAAATTTTGGTTTAAGTCTAATGATTTTGTACATTGCCTCCCAAATTTGTAGACGCGAGTTCGGATCTCATTGTCAAATGTTTATGAAACAAATTAATGTATAACGTAAGGTGCCAAACCTTAAGTATATAAGTTAAAACCCGACAGAATTTGCATTAAAATTGTTCTAAACGCAATAATATTTGTATTACTAATAATTTAATATTTGTATACGAATCTGTTTATAATTATTTTTTATTTTTTTGTCCCAGTCTCTGGCCAGCACCAGCAGACGCAGGTTCAAATACCGCAGTGCCAAAAATTTATCTATAAGTCCCAATATAATTAATTAATGTTATTTATTTTGCTTTTGGATTCACTCTTTGATATTCGCTTTAATTTCTATGCTACAAAATACTTCATCGGACACAGAGATCGGAAAAAGGCTAAGCTGGGTGCGGCCCACTATAAGTAGAGACTATAAAAGTATTATGAATACGAAGGCGACGAGCACTTCAAGATTCCACTTAAATAAATATTTAATTCGTTTATGAAACTTACTTTTTGTATTAAACTAGAATGTTTAAATCTACATTTATAGTTTTATATTTTATAATAAAAAGACGGTTTCAGGTATTGTCTTTCCACACAGTTAGTGTATATGTTAGTGTATATTTATGCGTGACTCCGCTTACGCATTCCACGAGCTTAAATGTAATATCTCGATTTGCAAGATAATAATACCATCCAGAACCAAATTGCAACATATACAAGTACATAATATATTGACATCATGCGTATGAAGCACAGATAATATTTTTCTAGCATCCAACCACGTCCACTTGTGACTTGAGAGTTCAAATCCCGATGGAATGCATCAGCGTTTTTATTTATGTCTTTCGAATATCTAACATAAAAAATCGCGTTAAAGAAATTAATAAATACTGTGAATCTCTCTTTATCCTATTAAACGTTAATAATTGTAGAGTCCCTCTACAATCTGTAATAATATATCTACTAGAGAGTTTCTAATTATACTTTGTAGTGTTTAAAAAAAATAATTATTTAATATTTATATATTACTTTAAGTTCAAAGATCAAAAGCATATAAGTTTAATTCCAATTTGTTTTATGATAATATACTATTATTTAATTTATAACATGAATTAGATAAGTCGCTTTTCCTGCAGGTGAGCTAAATTGGAGCCAAAAATAGCACATGTCCCAAGGGAACCTCGAGCGGCCTACTCCAAATGGAAGATTAGGGGGTTTTGCATAACTGGGGGAACGCTGGGGTGGCGGCGGAGCGGGGAGTGGTTTGTTATGGCGGCGGCAGGAAGCGCCCGTGGCACGTGTAAGAGCGGCCTTGAGACGGCGGGTCGACGAACGCCGTGCCGCGCGCCTCCTTGCCCGGCCCGCGCTGCCGTAGCCTTTGTCCCGCCGCTCTTGCCGAACACCTATCCAGGCGGGCGACCCCAACCGCCCGTCCTGTCGCCTATTGATCGTCCCGACCCCGGTGCGTTTCGCTACACGCGAGCCTACACGTTCCCGAAATCGGCCAAAGGTCAACAAATCGCCCGACCCGAACGCGTCCACTTCCCGAGGTGCGCATATTATATTAACTAAATCCGACATAATCTTGACGCACCGAGTTATGGGAACGTCGCGATGACGCGCCATCGCGATCGGGTCGGTACACTCGAATACCGCGCCTTCGAATTTTAAATGCATCGAACGCGTGGAGCCAGTTTTATAACGACCGACACGTGTAAATACCAATTCATCGTGCACTTAACAAATGAATACTCGGAATTAACGCGCGGTAAAGAAACGCTCTTGTAGGTATTTTCGCTGAGAATTGGTGTTATCAGTGCGATAAAGGATGAGGGAGGGCAGGGCGGCGAGGACCGGGGGAAATAGGTCGCGAGGCCATCGCCCTAGCGCGGCCTCGGCGACACACCGCCGGTGCCGCCGCCGCGTTACGCTTCCCTCCGTACCTTTGCATTAACAACATTTTATGCGGATTACGGCAAAGAACTTAGCGGTTTGCTTGAACCTTTTCACAGATAGATTACTTGTTAACGAATGTCTACAATATAAATTGAATCTTTCACATTTCACATTTCTAATACGGTTTTGTTGCCTTATACATATATGAATATAACCAGAACAGGTTAAATAGATATACACGTATGACAACATAAACTGTTACGCTTACCAGAGGGAGAGATAGAGATCCTTGCACACACCTTCCTCATAGATACATTGACTTGTACATAATGTGGGTAGTTTTTATATGAAGTCAACGCACTTTTTAACTGAAATGGTAGACAGAACAGTATAATGCTTACCACGTAGTAAACTTGTTTAGTTCGGAGATAACATGTTGGAAGATTGTCGTCGCCTTATATCTGTCGCATAGGTGGCACGGGGATTTTTAAATTCAAATGGAAAAAAACTCTTTTGCTGCTCAGCGCTTGAAAGCAAACCGTCCAGTACAGAAGCAGAAACCCTCAAGTAAAATCTGAACTCATTTCTTCCGAGTTTCTACACTTTTGTAAGAAAATAAATGGCGATCGACTGCTACCAAAATTGTAAAATCCGTGAGGATCGTAAAAGATTTTTCTTTACTGATTCCACAACTTACTATAGTGCAGATAACCACAAATATCTGATCAATGCTGTAAGTCACAGTTTTGAGTATCCATTGACTGTGACTTTTTATCAATAGGCATATTGTTTTTTTTTTTAAATGTGAAAACGTTGGCAAGTGAATTGAACAACCAAGCATTTCACCTGATAGTTAAATGCTAACCGCTGCCCATTGACATCTGTCGAGTTCCAATACGTTGCAGATGTCACCTTTTAAAAAAGTTGTCCCTGGTTATCTCACTTCTGGTGACGAAACAAGACATTCTGCTACTTCACGTCGGTTTTCTTCGAGGCCGTATCCCTTGACCAGTCGATTTAAATTACCGTTGCGTAACTCTACCACACAGAAGTTTCATAATTAGATAAAGTTCAATTGGGATGTTTTATATTTTCTTTTGTTTATTCAAATTCAGAAATAACGATCTTTAATGTTTTAGTGTATCTTCTAAAAACTCTACTACATTCGATTAAAGAAATTACATGATAGCAAATATCTGGTAAAGGATGAAATGTAGTATTTAATTTTTACTAATGCAAATTAATTACACATATTTATAAATTATTAAATTAAAATAACAATCGAACCACGTTTATTCGACTATCTATCGGGAGTAGTAATAAAGATCATCATAACCCTCAGAAAAAAAAATTATTTTTTCGTTTGGGAGTTGCAACCACGCGACATCCATATTTATATTATACATATTTATGCAAATTCCCTTCTAACGTATCCTCCAAAAAGTCTCGTATATATAAATATGGACTTATGCCGTTAAATAGTTTAAATAAAGTAGGTTGAAAATAGACAAACAAAAGTTATCGAGTGTGAACTAGAAATACGATGAAACGTTAATCCTATGTAGAACTTTCACCACAACGTTTGCCATTCAAGGATTACAGCCCACATATTAGTGAGGCTATATGTGTACATCCTGCGGATGCCCACGGCATATTTGAATTCCACCTTTGAAAGACTACGACATCTTTTCGTATATCTCTTTATATCCATTCACATATCATTAAATTCAAGTGATGATTGTGAAGTTTCTACGAAAGTACACCAATATCATATGAGAATAATATTATGTGTAGCAAAAATTATTAATTAAAACAACAATCACCATCCAAACCAATTAATTGAAGGCGTGACGAAATATATTCAGATGCGGGCCTAACTGCCTTTTGTCAAAAAGTGTTACTCCGATTTATGTTAATACTTAAACATGGTGAACTTACCTCATGATAACAATGATACAGCTAGCGAGCCTATCTGAGCCGTTGATTATTGAATATCAAGGTGTAGTGGTAACGTTTTGGGACAGTCGGACGTGTGCGAGTGTCTTGCACCGCCGCGCCGCCGCATGCGCCCGAAATAAACCGCGAAACACGACGAAAACAATTGAGACCGCGCTTGCGCCCTCACGCGCGTGCAAAAATGACAGGGAAATATGCCCAGCGGATCGCTGACTGACGCAAGGTGAAAGTGTCACGGGGCTTGGGTCCCAGCACGCGGACGGGTCGCGCGTCTCTTGTGCCAAAATGATCGGGGTCCAACCGCCACATTCCTACCGCGCCGCCGTGGCGGGCGGCGCGGAAAGCAATTGGTCTGCATTCGGTCCACAATCAATAACATTATCTTGGATTTTTTTAAGATTATTTTTTTATTTTCAGTGCTAGTCTCTGCAATTAAGATAAAACTTTAAATTATAACTTCAAAAAACGCAGGTTCAATTTTTTGTTCTTATATCTACAAAACCTTTTTTAGATATAACTTTGAATAATATTTTTTTTAAACATAAAAAACAAAATGTCAAAAAAACACCCCAAAAGCGAATTTGTTAATCGTATCATACATACTATACTTCAATTAAAAATTTTAAAAAAGAAAAAATTTTACATTTCGCACCCAGCGTAGATTTTTTAACAAAAACCAAATTATATTTTTTTATGTTGGTTATCGTTTTCTTATACATAGCAGTTGCTATTACAATTTTTGAGGTTTGTAATATGAAACATAAACAAACAGTATACTTTTTGAATAAATAATTCAGAATAGAACGTTGTTATATTCTGAATCTCAATATCTATAAGTCAGAAGAAAAAAATTAAAATGTTATATGAAACGTAGACAATAATTAAGACTATCCGACGATAAAATCAAATTCATCCTATGTGACCAGAGAACGTTATTCTACGCACGGTGCGATTTAAGTAAGTCAGAAGTAATGTATTAATTTTAAAACCGCTTTTAGGTGTACGTTTATTTATCATAAAATGATGGTACTTGTGATAACATGATATAGTCATAATTCTTCATATCTTATCATGTCGTTCATAAAGCGTATCGGAAGCCAACACTTTCATGTCTGGTCGGTCTTGGGTGAAAATTAAATCGAAGGTTTTGCGAGAAGGTCATCTTTACTTACATATCATCAAACGACTTTAGCCACTCTATCAACTTAATAACTCTTAGAATCTCCCCGAAAATAGAACGCTAACTTACCGAATAAATACGCGCCGTATTGTGGACTAAATTCGCACCGCTCTATGGTATGTAGTACACTCGGCCCCCAACAATGTTGTTTTACGCAAAGGATATATGTTGGACGAACGCGGATGGAAATAACCGCGGTTATTCTTACAGACACGCGCCCCCTATTATGGGACCATCCCATCTCCTGCATCGTTCCTACCTACTACTATATCAGAACATTTTTCATTCCATTGATTTTCTTGTTACAGTGTGTTTGGTCTTTGGTAGACTAAACAACTGTAAAATTCTCTTACAACCCTATTTATTGATTGGAGTGACGGAACTATTCTTGACAGGCAATAATTTTATTATTTTGTACCAAAAAAATTTTTAATACATAGTAAAAAATATAATGTACCATTATCGTGCTTAAGAATTGCCGAGGTGATCATAGTATTTTTTAGACATTCTCACGTAGCTTAAATAATGTTGTTGTTGTAATTTTGTGTGTTTAATAAGTGCTAAAAATATTCATAAGTTATTTATTATAAAAGGAAGCCATATTGTATACATATCTAGCGAATGTAGTACGTAAAAAACAAATCACATTTGAGCAGCTGTTCTGTTATGTAATGTCGGTATGTGGCATATATGTAACTATAAAGATTACTTCTATGCGAAAACAATTTCATTACCTTTTCGACATTGTTTACCCTTTGGCTTAAGGAAATGTACCATCAAATAGGTAAATAATTGGCCTCACTCCTCACAACACCAATCAACGACACCCGCCGGACACGAACGAATCGATTGACATGACTTACATCTTCATCTTCTCGTTTAAACTTGGAGTGTAAATTGTACACATTACTTAACCGTCAGATGCGTCAAATATAAATAGAATTAACGCTATATACAAAGTTTATGGACGTTATTAAGTAAAAGGAATATTAAAAGAAAATATAATAGTTTGTTAACAGAATGTTTTCAACGTAAATCTGCGATTTTGAAAATTTTGACCGCAAGGCTATTCACGATAATGGTACATTATATTTTTTTATCTGTAGTACAATTACGAGCATACAATCCAAGACACGACTGAGGCCGCTGACTTAACACAGGCTGTTAATCTTATCGTAAAACACGAATCAATCAAATGTTTGAATAAAGAAGCTTACTTTCAATTGTTGCTAAGCATTGAATTCTGATTGTCGATTGCGATGTTATACGCTATCCGTGCAATACGAACTGCTACGTACATCGCTAACTTATTTATAGATAATAGAGCAGCACCCGGCGGCGAACATCGGCACCACGCGACGTTGACAAACAACCTTAATATTAACAACAACATCGCAAACTATACTTAACCGGGCGAACCAGCGATAGTCCTTGGCGGAATACGCAACCGTAATGGCTAGTGGAGACACGTGTATGCTCCAAAACGTTATTGTAATTAACGCTCGCAAATATGACAAAAAGAAAAAAAAATAACGTAAAAAGTGACGGCATCTACCCAACATAGTTTGTTGGGTACAACAAACTATGTTGGGTAGATGCCGTCACCAGCGATCACTTAGCTCAATTTTTGTTGACAGCATATTCCCTGATTTCTAACGACTCAATGTATTTTGTTTCCTCCATCACCTTTAAGTATTCAAAGGGTATTTACAGACTTACCGCTATAAAAACAATTTACCTGTTATACTATTAATTAGAATATGACGCAAGTGAAACGCCTAGCCGCACGTCCGCACCGCCGCTACTGCCTACGCGCTCACCTTCCTAATTACGCTCCGTCTAGACAGACGTCGCAGCGTCCCTCGTATAGCCCTCTTCGCGGCCGCCCCCTTTACCCTATAATCATTCAATAAAGGGATGGCCCAGTTAATATAATAGTAATACATTCTTAAATACTTACCATTTGTCTCTACATTCTCTACATTTTTGGATATTTATGCTCATTCCTTTCAAACATTCCCAGACTCAAATTATTATCTAAATATCAATTTATTTAATGTCTAGCGCAACAGTTGAAATTTACATAAGTATCTAATACCTTTAAACGAGCAATTCTTTTTTCTATACAGATCATTGCTTTCTTTATTTTTATTTTTTTTTTTTTTTTCCAAAATACACGATTTACCAAAAAAATCCTCCAGGTACTTTCCATAATATGAAGAACATTTTGAAACGAAACATATCTCGTATATAATAAGCTACAAACGTAACCGAAGCTACCGTGCTTATGTAATTCCTCTCAAGAAGTTCTTTTCGTTTGTTGTTTTAACATAAATTTATATCATAGTCAAAAATGTTCTATTCAATTAGATCTTTCTTCACAATTAAAATCATTTTCAATCACCGATACGGGAACTTAACTACTATGATATATCTTTTATAACCTTTGCTATTACAATACTTTTACTTTGATATTACAATTAGTAGGTAGGATCGACAAATGCCCAAGTTGTTCAAGAAAAGAGTATATATTTTTGCTTATATGTACAAAAATAATGCGCAGAGATAAAGTGGTATACTAGTCGAACTCTCAATATATATGTATATCCTAAGTAATCTTGACATGGTTGACTCTGGCTTCATTCGTGTAATTTTGACTTCCAGGACCATATAGACACTCACAAAACGTGAATTTAAAACAGGCTCCTTAAATTATGCACCCGATTTATCCATCTCATATATTTCCAATTCTGTACTTCTAATCTACTTCGGTTCAGCAAACCAATTAGAACTGTTAACAAAGTATATTTATTCAACAGTTTTTAATATGTATCCTTCGTCTCATAATTTCCTGTTTAAAATATTTTGGAGCGAAAAAAAGAGAAAAAAGGTAAAAGTCAATTAGAGAAAGACAGGTGTGGACTATAAGGTGGGTGTTTAATTTCTGAGAATTTTTGCGTTATCATACAAACCGCACACCGCGCGCTAAGTTTCCCACGTCATTTTCGTATGGCCGCGTCACGTTAAGGAGTAATAGAGATGAAAGAGAATTTCTTCGGATCGAAGTAATTTACCTTGAAAACGTAAAAACGAAAACGTAAAGCCTAAGAAGATCCCTTCGATCACCAACACTTCGTACCGACATTCTTGAGACAGACATTCTTTGCGGGTCACACGTCCTTACAGTTGACTTTTCACAATTTTATTTTAAGTTAATATTTCAAAATATTTCAATTGATTAACAAGGTGGTTTTATCTACCTTAAATCCCGTAAATGATATATCATGTATAGTGAGAAAATTTGCGAGTAAACAAGCTGACGAGTAAAGGCATATTGGAAGCAATAATGCGAGTATAGCAAAGGTTATAGCGTTGTCTCAGCTAGAGAAGAAGATAGCTCGTTATTTTTCACTATTCGGAACAAGTGCAAAGATATCTAATTAAAAACAAATCCATTAAGACGAAAACAAATAGAAGACCTTCATGTTGGCTGTTTCGGAAGAGTTCGCTAAAATAAGCCGGGCTGTTCGTTAAATTTAGATTACGTGTACAGTATACACACATGTAGAAGAAAATGGAACATTTTATTAGTAACGCAGTTTATGGTTACCGTGTCGGTTAACAGCAGGTAAGGGAGAGATAAACGGGTGCTCAGATCGCGCCACGTGGCCAGGTATCGCCAGCTGGAGAAGCTATTTCGGTGACCGGTGGCAGGCCCCGGCAGACCGACACCAGACGACGCCGCCGCCCCCGCGCTCCCCCACTGCTAATTATAGCCGCACTGTGCATTCTTGGGCGAACGATGTCGGATTTTTGTCGAGTACGCGCGGCCACACGCCGTTTGTTTTGGCCCCAGCGATCGGACCTCCGGCCAAACTCGGCCCACTTCGAGACTACCCCTCAGCCAGAAAGCTAACGGAACACTTTACATCATGCATAAGTTCACCAAACGTACGCGTGATAAATCTGTGAGAGGTACATAAACAGATGACAAAATCGTTGTCAATACAATGTAAATAGAGGAAACACAGATAACAAATTTATTTTATTTAAAAGTTTATTGTTACACTCCAAAATAAGGCCAAACAAAAGGGAAACTTAATACTTGATTGCGTTTGCAAGCTAATAAGCATTCTCTTTCAGTCAACCCTGGCAGTAGTGAAAATTAGACGTAGGTGAAAAACAAAATCCAAAATTCATTTTTAAAAAGAGAAAAAAACAAAAAAGTTACATATTTTATAAATATACTAAATGCATACATGCATACTATAAATTATTAAATACATATATATCCATTAACATAATAATAGTATATCAGTTTATACTAACAAGCTCACAGTAATTTTTTTTCTAAAACATATGAAACTTTTTAATTTTGTTTAATTAAGATATAATTATAGAAGTCGAATATTTTGTAATGCCGCAGTTATCTTTAATATTTCGCTCTGATCGTCGTAGAATCTTAAAGAAAAAATAAGCGAAGTCTATAGTCAGTATGTATTTTTCGTTTTCAGCGAGTATAATATGCGTGACCTTCTATCCATGTACCTATTTACAGTCAGGTTACTATTTGCTTTGCTCCCTCTTCAAATATTCAAAAGATCGCTAAAGTTGAATGACTTAGGCACGTGTAGTATTGCTATTTTCCTTGCCTCGTTTTACATGAAGCATTCATTTCATCTAAATAAAAATACAATTGAAGGTGAATAGACTATAAGCTAAAACCTATTATGTTTTCAAATCTTCATTCTTTTTGACTGAACAATGTATTTTAGAGATTCGGTGGTAAAAATGATAAGAGCAAAACTGACTAATACGTCGACTAAATAAAATTTATTAAAAGTTATAATAATCGGTAATCTAATAATCAACGCCGTTGCACAAATGGGCAGGTCCGTCTGGGTTAGTACCACGACCTCACAGAAGACCGGCGTAAAGTAGAAGTGCACTGGTGAGTGAGGTACCCGGGGCCCACATTATTAAGAGGTGACAACGCATTTGCAACCCTACTGGTGTTGCAAATGTCCATGGGTAGGTGGTTATCACTTAACTTCAGGTGAACCGCCAGCTCGTTTGCAACTTTCTCACCTTAATAAATTAATAATAATAATATTTCCTAGACTGTGATAATATAGTTACTTTGTTTCAGACCTCTTCCTACGATACTTCGTATAATTTATTATAGAATTCGAAACTTCATTTATTCACATCGTTTTATATATACTTAATACAAGGGCTCACTTCTCTTAAATAAGGGTTCCAACGTGGCAAGTATTTATACATTCATGACGATTCTTAGATGATAGTTATATATATATATACATCAGTTTAAGACAGTGTGTCATACAACGTCTTAACAACTCTATAGAGCTGAGTAAATATTGTAAAAGTCTATTTTTATTAACGAAAAACAAAACTGACTTCAAATATCTCGCTCTGTATTCTGTTTATAATTGATTTTCAGGAATTTCCTAAGTATATCCGGGGCCCAAGATCCAATACCTATGAAATTAATATGGGACCACATGGGATTCACCCAATCGAAAGTTATGAAGTAACAAACATAAAAAATACAGTTGAATTGAGAACCCTCTCCTCTTTTGAAGTCGATTGAAAAGTACTCTCCTCCTGATAGATGTGAATTTCCAAAATTTTGAAATTTTATTAGTTTGCTATGCTAATATTTTTATCGGTTCGGTTTTGTTTTTTTTGTTACGACTTAAGTCGAAAACAACTTTAAAACGATTTTCAAAATTATTTCACCATTATGAAGGTACATATTTACCGAGTAACAGGCTATATTATATTTTTTTATAACATAGAGATGGTTTGATTTTTAAAGTGTGAAAGACATTACTTTGCGTGCTCTGCAAAAGCTGTTAACGATATATAAAATAGTGTACTATATTGTTTTCTTATTATGTAGTTATAGTATTTATGTTTGCTTACACACAAGCTACATTTTAACCCCGTACTCACACAGGAACGGGGATTATGCGGGTGGAATAAATAATATTTATATGCTGCAAATTAGCCGAGCTATGACAATTATTTTGGGGCGAAGTGCTCGTATTCGATAAAGTATTTTCGTAATAATAATTTAAAATCAATTTGAAATTTAATACTATACCATAAATTTTAAGTGTGTGTTTAATGGAGGGGTTGCGGGAAGGCAAAACAAGTGAGCTGTGGTAAAATATCACTTGAAATGTAAACGTCTCTTTGCTGTGCATCACTACATAGTATAAAACAAAGTCGTCCTATGTCCCTATGTATGTTTACGTTTTTTTTTTACTAGATAGAGTAATTTATGAGGAAGGTTCATATGTGTATAATACATTGCACCCGTGCGAAGCCGAGGACAGTCGCAAGTTGCTTATATTTATGCAGATTTGACTCCCTTTGCACCCAAAACCTTCGTAATTCACTTATTTTTATTATTCTTTTAGTTCTTATTTTAAGCGTAATATTTATTTGCTCTACAATTATCTATTGGTACAAAATGCTCGCAACATTTGGTGGTAAAAATGGAATTGTTATCAAAGCATGGTGTGATTGTCGCAGAGTGGTGGTGGGTGGGCGCATGCGTGGGCGGTGCAGTGTTATTGTGCGCCGCGGGTGCGCTGGCGCGCCCGCACCTGCGACGTCGAAACGCCAACGCTGCCGACGCCAACCCCGTAAGTCACCCCACTCCAATGCAATATGTTCAACACTTTTGGGGCGCTACGCGATTACTTGTTTAGTATGTCTAAACGAACGAAATTTAACTGTGGTAGGGCCGCGCAGCAGCCTCGGTTTTTGCACGAATGGGCAGGCTCGTCCGGGTAAGTACCACGACCTCACAGTTGACCGGCGTAAAGTGGAAGTATAACAAACACTTTTGCGTTTCGTCTGATGAGTGAGGTAACCGGAGCCCAATTTTCAAAAGGTTGTTAACACATCTGCAACCCTCGGGTGTAGCAGATGTCCATGGGCGGCGGTATTCACTTAACATCAGGTAAACCGCCTGCTCACTTGGCAACTTTTCACATAAAAAAAAACCAATAAATTTTGTATGTACCCATCACCTTTTCTTTTTAAAACTTTTAACTTTTCCCTTTTTGTCATAGCATATCATACCAAAAATAGTTAAATTGAAACTTAACTGCCATGTGAAGTAGTTTTGGAACCATCTACAACTGCTCCTCCTCCAAGATGTCAAGTAGAAGATAAAATTTGAAAAAGTGCTATTGTCATTGTGCCATGTTATTATTTATGATAACCTGATAAAAAATGTCTATCATAAAATGTTCAATACATCCGTTATAACATACCAATATATATATATTTGTACGTAAATAAATGACAAGATTAAAGTTATTATGATATTTTCTGACGAGCCATCGCGTCTGGACGTACAATCGATAAAATATAGTACAGTTTCATAAAGGTTCATAAATTTTTACTGTTTATTGGTAAAAATATATTTTGTTGTAAATTAAAATAAGTTTCAATTAATAGTTTAAGAAACTTTATATTCTTGTCACTGTTAACAATTGCCAGGTTTTATTTAAAGTAGGTTGTAGTATCTGTTCAATTTCTATGCCATATAAGCGAATAAAATAATCTTTCTAAATAAATGATATCCGCATTTTTAAATTAAATTACCAAAAATTTCAAATAAAATACTCGCCCAAGTAAGCTTACACTAATGAAGTGATGAATGGAATTCTCCTTTCGAGAGAGATTATTTGGACCAAATTACTGAGCCCGCCGCCTCTTACATGTCATTTCAACAAAGTAAATAAATGTAAGTTTTAAAAATGAAAATCGTATCGGTAATATTACTCGATATGATGTTACCAAACCGGGGTCCAAATCTCATTATCCTACGTCAGACCTAAATCTACTCGGGTACTAAGACTATTTGATTTTTCATACAGATGTCTATATCAAAGTTTTAATGCAATTATTAATATTAGTCATAATTAGTCTGGAATTATTATAGCCGTTAGTAGCAACTATGTACACACCTTTTTTCATTGATTAAATTATGTGTAGCGAAAAAATCGTTGTATATAGAACTATTAATTTATGTGTTTTTATCAATAATTATTGGAATTATATTTCTCCGTACTCATTTTAAAACATATCAAAAGAGAGTTAATTTTTAAGTGTTAAATATTGGGCGTTACGTACTAGAGTACAGCTCAATCATTGAGCAATGCCAACCGTCTCGTCTCACGAGCCGACAAAACGCGTCATCGCTTACTATTACAATTATAGGTGCGCATACATAAACGAGACGGTGGCAGAATCGAGCTATGTTTGCATGTGTGCATTTGGTGTTACGAACACACGCGCCACTACACTGAAACCTTGTAAAACACACACTACAAACTTGGACGAATCATCACGCCTACCAATTGAGCACACAAATACAAGTAGACAGATTGTTGGCTTGTGTGCGGGGTCGACGTTATACGTTTCGGAGCTTTGTGTGCGACAACATCGGGGCAGCCGGTGCACCGTCACCCGCCCGTTCTCCCCGCTACGCGACTGCGAACACCGCGGCGCAGCGCGGCCGCGTCCGCGTCATTGAACAACAAGACTCGCTCGATGGCAGGCGTCTTCCTGCCAATATGAATAAAAGAGTTCCCTGCGACTCTGTTACAAAATACGCGATAGTGGAATTTATATGTTATCTTCGTTTTATAAATTATTTATTTTTATAGTGTTATTACATTGAATATCATATTTTTATTTATTAGTGAATGATAGATAGATTATTGTCAAAACGCTTTACGGGTGTTGTAATCTCTGTATTGCCCTGTGATTGTTTTGTTTTAAGATTTTTAACTTCGACAAAACATAAATATCGATATGAGTGTTAGTGTGGAAACAAGTTTACATAAAATGATGGAGTGTTGATCGATTTATATCCTATAAGTGAATTCAACGTCGTGTCGTCAATTCTCAAATGAGTAAACCCTGTCATCTGTGAAATCTTACCTAACTACAAAATCGTGGACATCACTTATTCAAATAGTAAGTAAAAACCCCTTAAATCATAATCAAAACATGCACCATAAACCTGAATACATATGTGCATCTAGACCGATAGTTTTGTCTCGATAGGAACGCTTCTACTTATGTATATTACCGTACTATAACTACAATTATTAATGATATTACGGTGATCATGTAAGATAATGTTTGTGGAAGAGACGAGCGGCTGGTAGCTGGCGGTCGACAAGTGAGGCCCGAGACGGCTCGGACGCCGCGGCCGCGAGACGGCGGGAGCGTGCCAAGTGATAAGAACCGCGCCGATAGCGACGTCACGCCCAGACGTTGTTTGTGTGAATTTAAATAAATTTTCATGACAGACAGTTCCGTAATCACCTCTTGCGATAGTCGTGACATGCCAGCTCGATAATATCTGCAACTCTTGTGAACATTATCTTGTAGTCAATGTAAGTTCTACTACATGAAAATATGAACAGATCCTATTTAATTTATTCACATTGACACTTCTTCTTAAGAAATAAACATAATATTTTATAATAACGAAATGGTACACTATTTTCGTAAATAAAAAAATTAATTATTAAGTATAAGATTCAAGCAAATATTTAGAAAAAAAAAGATCTCTTATACTTATTTAATTTTTACTACTATTGTTTAAATCGGTTTGATTTTGTTAAACTCATTCAAATTCATGTTGACTACAAAATAGTAAAAATTTGTGTATAGAAATTACCTAATATACAAATCTTAATCAATAAGAGGCATTAAAATTCAATATTTACATTTCTTAAATATTTCAATATCAAAAAATAAATTGTAATCATAATTAACAAAAAAAGTATGCTAAGTAAATTTATTACACCAAACATTATTGCAATAAAATATTGATGAATCCATATTTAAAAGAGAATAGAAAAATAACTCAACAATCAGATGTTAATAATGCAATTGTTACAATTGTAGATTAAAATCATGAATACATGTTGTACAATTAAAATTGTAATTCTATATTTTGCCATGAACTAATCATATTTCATTAAAAAAGGTAATATGTGAGTAGTATAAGTTATCTCTCTACCTTCTTAAAATAAAGTCATAACAGTTGAAATATAGTAATATAATATTTGTATACTTATTAAAAATGTATTCAAATACATGAAACATCAATTCATGTACAACTGCAAATGCCAACTTCATAATATGATTACTAATAATTTTTAATGGTAAGCTCTTTAAAGCAAAATATATATTGTAATAAATTAATTTAAATTCAAACGATTGATCAGCCCATGCTTAAATTACGTAAACTAAAATATTCTCACAATATATATTTCTATATAAATAATTCTAAAATCATTAGTATTGTCTTTTCTTTTTGCATTTCAAATGATTCATTACATAATACTCTCAGAATCTATTGAGTGTTATTACATTTGGGACACTTTGCATGTATGTAAAAAATTGTTTGCTTTGAAATTCTTCCTGTAAGTAACATGAAAAAGAATTTTTGTAAATTACTTTACTATAGTTTTCCTAAATATTTTGTAAAACTATTTTCATCTACATGGTATGAATAAAGCATTGTGATGTCAAAATTACCCATGTCCAATGATGACAATTACATGTAATAGACTTGTCAGCTATGTACAAAATATGAATCTTCTGGTTGGATGAACATTCTGAATAATTGATATGTTACAAAAAGCCTTTACTACATGCATACATATAAGATAGAGAGAGTAATAATAATATTCTGTGGTTCATTGAAACTGAAAACATTTATAACAAAAGCACTAAAAATTAAAATGAACTTTTAAATAACATATAAAAAAGTTTCGTCTAGTAAAATTTGGTGATAATTTCTATCTATAAATGTAATATGTTGTCTCTTCATTAAGCATATATGGAAGAGAGACATTGCTTTTTTAAGATTTTAAAGAGAATAATAGTAAACCATTACATTGTTTGATTAAATTTCACATACTTCCAAGGCCAAATATTAAATTTGTGATAGGCTTTAAAAATGTAATCGACATATGTAGCCATAGATTTAACATATATGTAGTATTAATGTTCAGGAGAACCACATAAGTGAGAGCAGTGTGTTGTGACTTACAGATGCTCTCGGTGCAAGTGCCGGGGTGTGCGGGTATGGAGCGGTTGGGCGCGCCGGGGGGGCCGCGCCTACGGCACGACCACAGGCACCACCATTCCACATTGTGAGTATTATCCTATGAGCATGGACATCATCATAAGTTATTACATTGTTAGCATAGTTTCATTTCATCTCTTGACGACTTAATGGGCGTAGTGGATAGTGACACTGTCTCTTGCGCCAGAGGGCGTGGGTTTGATCCTCACTACTGGTAAAATATTGCTAAAATTTTCCATTAGCACCGCGTGATTTTTCACCTAAAAAAATATTTTATTCGATAAAGAAAAATCACCAATGAAATAAACAACAAGCAGAATTCTCTGGTCGTTCATAAATTTCGAGAAAAAAATATTTAAAACTTGTTATTATCACAGAAAGTCTGTCATTTTGTTGATGACAATATGTTAGATATAAAGCTTTAAGCTAGTTTTCACCAAAGTTCTATCCTAGTTTTTTCACAAGAGACTGAATGCGATTAACAATATTTTTGTACTTAAGGAATCCAATGAAAAATATAATTGCATTCAAAGTGTAGGTATACAGAGATCATTAAGACCACACAGTAGATTGTCAACACTGTGCGTTCAGATACCTACTCCTGCTTCGATATCTGTCCAGACCAGCATATAGACAAAACAATATAATGTTGCTACTTGATAATGACTGATACTATAAACAACTTTTATTGTAACAATACAACTTGAAGATAATGTAATCTTCGTAGTTAAAATAAATACGTAGTGCAAGGAAAAGTCATGTTTATGAGAAAAATAACTTACTTTTTAAAAATGGAGTTTAAAGTTTTAAAGAATAAATATTTTGTCCAAATATATTCCGCATACGTTTTTCTCAAGTATTAAAGAAATAAAAATGTCGATAATCGAAATAGCTTGCAATTACTTTGCGGTTGTATGTTAAATTTACGGGAGTTAAAAAGTATGGGCTGCGTTATCCCGCATTTAGATTTCTCCTTCCTCACTCGCCAAAAGAAACGCAGAAGTGTAATACTTCGACCTCACGGCGGCCTTCTGCGAGGTCGTGGTACCGCACCGGAGAAACCTGCCCATTCGTGCAACAGCAAAGACTGTTAGGTGGCCCTACCATAGTTAAAGTGCTTGTAGTAGTTAACGTGTGCGATACATCATCTGTATTGCGTTTCCAGGGAATGGGAGAAGCAGCAGAGGCTGCAGGCGATGGTGGGCCGCCTGCAGGAGATGGTGGAGCAGGAGACGCGCGCGAGGTCGGCCGCGGCGGCGGAGCGGCTCGGCCTGCCGCCCAGCATACGGCTGCCGGACGGCGAGTACGGCCAGGACGCGCACCTGCAGCTGCGGGTGCCTTACCAGGTCCGTAAGTACCTTCTATGCTACAACGTAACGCACCCTCGCGACCGTTCCAGAACCTTCTCAGATGAAGCGCAACCGTTCTAAAACCTGTTCAGATGACGCGCGACCGTTCTAAACCTTCTTAGGTGACGCGCGACAGTTCTAGAACCTTCGCCGAGATCTCTCCGATGACGAAGTTTACGTTTGAGGAAGGTGCTGTTCTATCGGAACCTTAATCCCCTCGAAACATAAATGCGCCCCCAGAATTAGACCATGTCATTCCGCACATATTGCATTTTATAGAGATATTTTTGTCGGTTACCTTTTATGTTTTTTATTAACCGACTTCAAAAAGGCTCAGGTTTCTTAATCCGACGATATATATTTTTTTTATGTGTGTTCGGGGATATCTTCGTCATTTATGAACCGATTTTGATAATTATTTTTTTTGTTGGAAGGGAGATATCCCAAGGATGGTACCATGAAAAGGAAACCCAGATCTGATGATGGCTTCCCAGAGAAATTGAGAGCAATCCTCAAATATTATATTTGTTGACAATGATTTTAGTTTCCTGTTTGAAGTCGGGTTTTTTTTTTGTTCAAAATTATTTGATAAAAATATTAGCCACTTCCTATTTTCGTTTCGTTTTTGTCCAAAGTGGTGCACTACTCGCGCAGCCTGGTTCATTAGAATATTTAATAACAATAGCAAAATTAAAACCTTACTCAAAGAGAACTAGAGAATTTTCACTAAAAAATAACGTAAAAATACAATTTTTATCGATTACATGTAAGTCCAAAGAAATAAAATCTTTTATAATACAAGTTTTCTTTCTTTTAATTCTCTTTCTTCTACGCTTATTCAGGCTTTAATCATTAAAAACAATGAAATCCCACTTATTAATCCATAATCGTTACCAATTGATTGTAAAAGTTGCTACACGAAGTTCTATCTTTTGCTGGCACATAACAGTGAAGACTGATGACTTTAAAAATATGTAAGTCATGAACATTGGACTTTCCCAAGGCTGAAATAAAACTTGTGATGATTGTCATATTATTATCATTCTTATCAATGACGTCGAAACAAAGTATTCAACAATTTTCCTACAGTGGATTTCACATTTTCTATTTAGTTTACTTTAGTTATCAATCCAGAATTAATGAATAATCCCCCTGATTCGGAGCCGTGTTAATTCACCGTTTACCATGTACAGATTCCGTTGAGAGCGTCAAAACATGTCACATCGCTTTATGTGGCCACCGCTCAACATATCGAGTGGGATTGTCATAGCTACAAAGCGTTATCCGTACAGCGATATAAATGTGCGCACGACGCACGGGCCTCGACTAACCCGCGCCGGCGTCCGTTTCCAGCAAGCCGAGCTGACGCGGAGCAGCTTCCAGCCGCCGCCGAACAAGTGCGTGAGCGACGTGCCCGAGTGGGCGGGCGCGGCGGAGGCGGGCCCGGCGCGGCGCGCGTCCGCCAAGAAGGACGGCCTGCTGCAGAAGGCGACGCGCTGGTGGGTGCGCATGGGCGCGCGGCCGCCGGCGCCCTTCCCCGCCGCCCCGCCGCCCTGCGTGATGGTGCCGAGGCGCGCGCTGCCGCCCCCGCCCGACGCGTGACGCCGCCCCCCCGCACCGCCGCCCCCCTACCATATCACGCTTACATTCCATTATCGGGACGATCACTCGCCGAAGTGCACGCGCGCCCCGGAGTATTATAGACTTGCTAATTTATTTATTTGGGACCCGCGCCCGCGACACGGACGCGTGCGCACCCTGTGATACGAGCGACGGGCCCGCGTGGTGGTGACAGTGCGGACTTTGCGGACTGCGCGGACTGCGGCCGGCGAGCGCGACTAGTCTTATTACTTTAAACGGTTCAATAATTGTTTCTATTGATATTTCATGAAACGACCGCCCGCTATTTGTGTTGTAGGTGTGTATGGCGTTGCATAGTGCGTCCGTGTTCCTCGCACTGTCTTTGAGTTTCGCAAAACTAAGACTGAGATAAAATAAAAAGATAACACTATAAACATAGTCTACGTTGAAGTATGTTGTCTTAGGTAAAATTAATTCAAATAGAAACAATTAAAGTATATAATATTTAATGAATCTTTTGATTGTAACCTTCAATGATATTGTATATTATGGAAAAGGTCAGTCAATAGTGGGCTAATGTCTTGCAGTGTGTAAGTTTAATTTCTATCCAGCAGCTATGAATGTGTGTTTAAACAACTTTTATATTTGTTTATAACAATGTGTAAAGAAATGCATATCAGTACAGTAAAAGCAAGGAATATTAATTTACAAAGCATAGTTACTATTTAATTGTAAATAATTATTGTCTCTAATTTAATATTAGATAATTAATGACCGAATGCCAAAATGAATGATGGTCATTTTAATTGAGTGTTTGCTACATTCCATATTTATGTTGAAATATTTCCAATATGTACTGTACTTGCTTTCACCCATGTCACTGCTACTGAAGTACAGTTTCATCTGTGACTGTCAATTCATTTATAGAATTTATGATAAACAGTAATTGATCATTTCACATATACTTATAACAATTGAAATTTGTACAATTTTGATCCTAAATTGTCGAAATTTACATTTCCTATTTACAGAATAATGAACTACAATAATTTTTTAAAACTTGCCCCTTACCTTAAACATTGGATTTGAATAAACTATGTTAGAACTTCTGAATAATAGTTGCCATAGATTAAAAGTCTATTATAAATGAAATCTATTAGAAATGCCTTTAATATATTTAGCTTTTTGGCAATTGATATTGTATTTTTTTATTATTATCATAATGTACCTTTATATTTAAAGGGCCATCAATATTTATCACAGGCACTATTTGTGTCTTGTGCTGCAGCTGTTTTTATTCAGTAGGTCTAAATAGTTTAATTTGTCTAATATATTGATATAAATTAAAGAACTATTGAGCAAATTTATTGTTACCTTTATAAAAAGAATGTTCTGTTATATTTTGCAATAATTAAAGTAAAATCCTAAATCATTTCACACTCATTGTCGTCAATTTCATTGTAAATGCTTGTTTAAAAAAACCATATGAGCTATAAGAATTTGTTTTTATCAACAAAGAAATATTTATATGCTTTTATGCAGTGGTTCATTGTGTTCAGATAACAGCTTTAACTTAAGTGTTATTGACCAAAAATCTAATTATACATAAACAAATTCTTATGCTCAAGGCATGTTTTGTTGAATATTTCAAACCAATTTAGCTCATAAATACAGCCTTTGATTTCTTGTGAAACAAAATCATAAATTACCCATTTTATAGTACCTTACTACTTTAATAGTTTTAAATTTATAATAAGTATTAGTAAAGCAATCCTTGTACAAAATGCTGATGAAAATATAAAAGTTGTTTAAATTAGTATCACAGAATAGATATTTAATCTAGATATCAAACAATATTCCATTTGTCATATTAATAAGTAAAGGCAGAAGCAAATTTTTAATAATAAAAAAAACTGCATTAAATTATGACCTACCAATAATGAAGATGTGCTTTTATTTTACACATATAATGTTATAAAATGACTTTTCTGAACATGGCAATTCAGAATTGGTCGAAAAACATTAAATCTACCAATTTTTTTTAATGAATTAGAGAAAATTGTGTATTATAAAACGAGAGCTAGGATTTTTAAATGTACGATTTTTAAAAACCGGTCCGGACTCGCACACAAAGGGTTCCATACTATACATTCCGTAATGAGTAATTCCTTACTAAAAAGTTCCTTACTATCTATATACTTAACATCTAAAATAATCCCGTCTGTTATATGGGCCCCACTTAAATATTTTTTATTTTGTTTTTTAGTATCTAATACCTTTAAGGCGCTGTATGCAGTAAAAATAGGTTTTTCAAAAAAAAATTTAACAAAATCTATACATTTTATAGAAGCAAAAAAAATATATGTTAATCTTGATCTTACATTCTAATGGACCATTATTTTCAAACCATATTCTTGATAGAAAAAAATCATGAACCTAACTTTAAACGAGAGTCAAATAAAAAAATAGATATAATAAGTGAACAAATCTTAATGAAATTAATATCAGTGGTGTAAAATATATTAATAAAAAGGACTGTTGTCTTAATTTGTTGACTCAGTTAAGATATTTGTAAATATTAATTTAATTCATTAAAATTAATTCTAACGCGATGGCCAAAACACCGCGCCACCGCGGCGTTGTTTCGGTTCTCTTCCAAATCCACACGTTGAACAGAGAGCGCTTAGGCGCCTTGCTAGATGGATTTACGCCACTCATCGCCCGCTCACCGTTACGAAATATGTTTCGTATTTATTTATTATTGAGAGTTTTAATTTTATTAGACCTTCGAAAACACGAAACTAAAAAATATGTATTCACATATTTCGTATTTATACATTATTTGTATGCATTAACAGTTGTTAATTAATTTATTTAAAGCATAATTTCAATGTCTTATCTCGTGATTGATTGGTCTATCAGTCCTATACATACAGTGTATAGGACCATCATTCTTTATGGATTGGGTTCAAATCCCTAAATTTTTTGTTGTACTTATTGTTGATTTTCTTACTTGGAAGTATTTCTTAATTACCATTTAATTATTGTTGATTTTTTTATTTTCTTAAATAATTACAACTAAAATATTATTGTATTTGTTCAAAGTAGAAACAGTTGGAGGACAATCTATCAGTAAATAAACCAACTTTTAGTATTAAAATTTTTAACGTCATCTATTTTTTTATTAATTTATTTAATTATTCACCCTAAAACGAAAATTTATCTTATACACGAAAAATGATTATTTTATAATTTTTTTTATAATTTGTTTATTGCCCAAATTGAGCCATTAAAATAAAAACGAAATAATTAGTTGGCTAACAAATTAAAAGTGAAAATAATATAAAAAATACAACTCCACTCGATTTTTGGTTTGAACATGGGATTACAGCAATAGTTTACCGTTGTGTATGACGCTCGGACCAACAGGCTACGCGAGGTCTGTGCAAAGTGACAAAATTTCGATTCTAGTTGTAATTGCTGTCGTTTATCGATACAAATAAGGATTTTATCGATAGTTTTTTAAATTTCATTTTAGTTGAAAAAGTAATATAACATAATAAGCCTTGAAAATTTAAAGGATAAATTAAAATTCCTAATGTATAAAAAAAAGTTGTATTCGTAATTTCTGCAAACATTTTATGAGCCATTTCTTTAAAATCACAATATAAACCATAAAAACAAAAAGTAATAATTATAAGTAATTTGCCTTTAGCTTTTGCTTTATTGATTATTAATTTTTTAATTAAATGGAAAAGGAAGTGATTAAAAATACACCTTAAAGTCAAATAAATTAATAAAGGCAAATTACTTATAATTATTACTTTTGTTTTTATGGTTTATATTGTGATTTTAAAGAAATGGCTCATAAAATGTTGCAAAAATTACGAATACAATTTTTTATATATTAGGAATTTTAATTTATCCTTTAAATAAATTTTATCTATTAATAAATTTTATCCTTAAATTTATCCTTTTAATAAACCACTAGCCTTGGGAGAAAAAGATCCGATATGTAGGAATAGTTTATACATCACAATAAGACATAGGCTATAATTTATATACATATTTTAGGTATACCTGTCTTTCCGTCTGAATGTTACGCCTTCAGCCTATTCTACGCAGACATAGTCGCGAGCAGCAGCTAATTCTTACTAATATTATAAAGGCGAAAGTTTGTATGTATGGATGAATGTTTGTTACTCTTTCACGCAAATACTACTGAATGGATTTTAATGAAAATTTACAATAATATAGCTTATACATCAGAATAAGACATAGTCTATAATTTATGTATATCTGCCTTTCTGTTACACCTTCAGCCTATTCTACGCAGACGTTGTCGCGGGTAGCAGCTAGTAAGTAAATAATTGTGCGGAGCCGGTGTTGTACGGGTTTCATTCTCGATCCAATGTTTGTTATATTTCAGTTGGATCTTATGATTTTTTCATATTTAGATTTTGATCGTACATTTTCCGCCCCCTGCCTGAACGTAAAAAACGAATTAAAGGGGATACAAGGTTGATGGGAGATCTAGTTAAGGACTGTTGTGGACTCGGTAAGGGCATAAGTACTAGATGTCTCGTATTGCCGTAGCTGCGAAGGAAGTTGGAAGGGTTTATTTCCCCGAGGAGTGCTTACTTGCCAAAGCAAGGTGCTCCAGTACGTATTGTACATCCCTGTCCTTCTTAATGTATTGAGCAGCCACAACCATAAATCCACCGAACTTTCATTATTAGGACTTCAGACAACAATACTTCCAGGTGTATTCTGAATTTATGTGAAAACTGAAGCGAACAGGCCGCCGTCGAAGACGTGGGGTTGAGTACAATTTTTTATTAAATCAAAATTATAGTATACGCCAATCACAATGCATGTAATAGTGGTCACTAGTGGGCAATGGGGGTCATCCGATTCTCACTACCCACAAGCACTGTAAGAAGAAAAAAAAATTAAAACAAAATATATATATTTGCAGCTCACGTGATATATGTTTAAAATCGTTACACTGAATGTCCGAATAAAGGCGTACGAAAGATACAAACAAGTAGATCAATAAATGTGATACTTACCATTTATTTTGAGAGAGGAAATTTATATCGGCAAGCAGCAACAAAAATGACCTCTCGTTCCCGATGCCGTTGCCATACAGGCGCAGCCGGCTCGCAACGATTGTGAGGAGCACATAGCGGAGTAGGTAGGCCATTTACGCATCTCTAGTGATTGAAGTTTTGTATACATCTGGGTGACCACCATTGCACACTGGCTCCCGTTACTCCTATACTTTCACTTCACGCCGGTCTTCTGTGAGATCGTGGTACTTACCTGAACGAGCCTGCCCATTCGTGCAATAGCTGAGTCTGCTGCGTGGTCCTACCACGTAAGAAAGTTTGGTTTGCATAAATAAACCTTTGACATTGATTTTATCAACAAAAAACATTAGTTTTCTATTGGTTAACAATGGTAAAGTAATGAATGAATTTTTCAATTTAGTATCATCCACAAAAACCAACGTTAACTATCAAGTTCCGGCACTTTTAAAATGATTTATTTTGATACGTTTACAATTTCAGGAGAAAACGCTATATGAGTATGAATTTAAGAATACTTGATTTTTATTATTACTTCAAGTATAGTCACATGGATTGCTAATTTTAGTCAAAGGGTACAAAGGAACCCTATTACTAAGACTTTACCGAATGTCTGTCACCAGGCTGTATCTCATGAACCGTGATTTATTTTAAAAAAAGTGTAAATGATCGTGACACGAACCGCCTTCTGTTTCTGGGCCGCCCGATTACCGACCGAGCTACTATAACATTTTTTTCGGCGAAATTTACCGTCATATTCGAATATTTTTCATGGGCCGTAGGCTACTATTGATAGTATCATTATCATAATCATCTTTATTTGCAGAAATATGGTAGATAAAAAAAAATGAACAAAAATTGACGAAATTTTAAGCAATAACAAATAATATCAGTCACAAAAATAAATAGAATAATGTCATAATTCCATACAATCATAATTACAGTAATTGAGAAAAAAAATATTAATGTGTAGTATTTTATGTGTTTTATATCATAATAACATAATTCAATGTCCCATTACAAATATAGCAGATACAAAAAGTAATTTTAAAAACACAACACAATATATCACTCGTTTGTTCTATAATCAAAGAATTCTTGCAGGGTATAAAAACATTTATCTATAAGCCAACGTCTGAGGGCATTTTGAAAAAAAAAATTTTAGTTCTCGAAATTCTCTCTGTATTTTGTTATATATTTTAATACACATGAAATGACTATTTTTTTTAAACAATGTTGTCCTACATTTAGGTATTCTTAAGAGTGTTTTATCTCTTAGACGAAGTCTTTTGTCATTGTCATTATCAAATAATGTTTCAAACAGGTGAGGATGTTTTCTTACAAATGAACCGATATCATATATATACAAGCAACACAATGTCATGATTTTTAATTTTTTGAATAAACGTCTACATGAGTCTAGAAGTCCACACCCACATACTGCTCTAATACATTTTTCTTGCACTAGGAATGCTTTTTTGGCGGCGACCGAGTTTCCCCATAACAAAAGTCCATATCTCAATACAGATACCACGTAACCATGGTAGGCAATCATCGCTGTTTCTTTACTTATAAAACTGCTAAGTCTTCTTAAGGCGTAGACATATTTGTTTAATTTTCTGCATATAATATCTATGTGATTTTTCCAACAACAGTGTTGATCTAGTACTAATCCTAAGAATTTAATGTCATTAACTTTTTCTATTTCTTGATTATTATTAATAACTTTAATTACAGGTGTTCGTGTGTGATAAGTACCAAAGGACATGTATTTTGTTTTAAATAAGTTAGGGCATAGGCCATTACCTTCAAACCAATTTACAACGGATTCTACAGCATTGTTAACAAGTTTTTCATATTCTGATATCATCAGCATATAGAATGCATTGTTGATCAACGGCAGATGGTAAATCATTAATATAAAGGATAATATGAAATAGTAATGGGCCAAGTATGCTACCCTGTGGAACTCCTTTTGGATTCGACACGAAATTGGAAGAATATACATGGTGTTCGTTGTTCCGATTATTATTTAATATATGTAAACTTTGCAGTCTACCGCTTAAATAACTTTTAATCCAATCATATGCAGCGCCTCTAATACTATATTTTTCAATTTTTCTTAATAACAAATTATGTTCTACGTAGTCAAATGCCCTAGTCATGTCATAAAATATGCTAATGACGTCCATACCTTTGTCAATAGATTCTGTTATTTTTTTATTAACATAAAATTAGCTAATGTCGTGGATTTGTCCCTTTGAAAGCTATTTTGCTCCATCTTAATGATTTTATGTTTGGTTAGAAAACTGTAAATTCTATTGTACATAGCCATTTCAAAAATTTTTGCTAATACTGGTATAAGAGCTATAGGCCTATTATTTTTTACGTCATTTTTATCTCCTTTTTTGTGCACTGGTTTTATGATAGATAATTTTAGTTTATCTGGAAAAATACCCTGCAAGAGAGATAGATTTAAAATATGACATAAAACGGGTACTATTAAATCATTGCATTCTTTTAAAATATGTTTTGAAATTTCATCATATCCAACAGCCATAGTGTTGTGGCGACTCATTTGCTACTGTGTAGCACCGCTCTTATCTTTTACACCCTTACTCTCATCGGTCTAGCATTACCCTATTATTGACAAATTTCTATAGCAACGAGTGACAATAAAAGATTATGTTTTTCTCAACACGGCTTGTTCTTTGTACTGCATCTTAATTATTCCCTCCTGCCGGCTCCCAAACTGGTGACCCCGACGTGATGTGATAAATATGCGCAACATCGGAGCCCACGTCGCTACGCTCTGCAGTTTCGCTCGGAAACAACAATTTCCGCGATAATCGAGGTTTGTTCCATTCTGCGACGCCGCCTAGGTACGCTTCCTTCTTTTTGTTTTTCCCTCCGTGCAGAGAAGTCTGCTAGGGAGACTAGAAAAGCCACCTGCGAGTGAGACTATGGTATAGCCTGCGAGGGATATTGTACAGAACTAATAATCGCAACAACTGTAAACGCATCTACGATAATCTACATCGCTATTGGACTCGTATTTTGTCCATTCTATGTAGCGCTGAGCCGGCATTTTTCGCATCGAGGCCGGCCTTTTTTTTTCTCTACCGGAGCTACGTCATCTTTGACGAGGAGGAAGTTGAAAAGCGCGCCACGCGCGGCAATCACCCGCAACATTGTGTCAGGTGACTAACAGCTCTCCACTGATACTTCGCGACGGATGCTGCGTTTACACTCGTTCAAGTGAAAGTTTAGTGCTATTTTACACTTAAGATAGTATCATTTTATGTTGTATTTAGACTTACTTTACTTTTCTACCAATTTTATTATTACGTTTGCTGCGCAATACTGAAATTATTTCGTTTGTGTATTTACCGATTTGTTCCACTGCGTGTATGTGTAAAGCGTTTTTGCGATTTGACCGTTTCTGATTTTACCTTTAAACCATGGCGAGTCAAGGAGAATCTAACGTTTCAGAGGGCCACGTTGGCAACGAGGGTGATGCTACTGCACTAGTCGGTGGCAGTCCCATTTACGTAAACAGGGTCGCAATTAGGACCCCGCCTTTTAGCAAGGATCGGCCCGCATTGTGGTTTGCTAGCCTAGAGGCGCAGTTCCACATTAACCAAATTACCGTCGAAATGACGAAGTTTCATTTCGCCGTGGCGCATTTAGATACCGAGTGTACGAAGGAGGTCGAAGATATTATCACACATCCTCCCGAGTTGCAACCATACACAACTTTAAAAAGCGCAATCATATCTAGATTCTCCGATTCCTTCGAGGAGAAGGTGCGGCGCTTACTAGAAAAGGAACAGTTAGGTGACCGCAAGCCATCTTCGTTCATGCGACACTTGAAGAGTCTCGCTGGGCAATCGTTCCCCGCTGACTTGCTGCGATCAATTTGGGCCAATCGGCTTCCCCGGCAGGTTCAAATTGTGTTGGCCGCACAGAAGATCCAGGACTTGACGGAGTTGGCGGAGATGGTCGACCAGTTGGTGGAGTTGACCGAGAGGCCTACCACCGTGAGCCAGGTTTCGGCGCATCATACCTTTGAGCCCACTCTCGCGTCAATGCAGCGGCAGATCGAGGAATTGACGCGAACATTCTCAGCGCTCAGAACAAACACCCATGAACGATCTGGGAGCTCACGCGTTAATCAAAAGCGGAGCCGCTCTCGATCGCGCTCACGCCCACGTAATCAGAAGCTTTGCTGGTACCACGATCGTTTCGGCAACAAAGCAAGCAAATGCATACCAGGATGCAGCTGGACCATTGAAGGAGCTACCAAACCTTTAAACTAAGGGAGCGGTCGGACGTGGCAAGTACCGACCGCGCACAGTCCAGCAAACGCCTTTTTATTACCGATCAAAATACCAAAATTAATTTTTGATAGATACCGGTTCGGACATTTGTTGTTTTCCACGAAAACTTATAAAAGGACGTTTCTCAAATACAGGACTTACTCTCAATGCGGCAAATGGCAGCTCCATTAAAACTTACGGCACAGTTAATCTGAACCTCAATTTAGGACTGCGCCGTGAATTTTGCTGGGAGTTTATTTGTGCTGACGTGGATGTCCCAATTATCGGTTCGGATTTCCTAGCTTTTTTCCACCTCCTACCCGACTGCCGTAGCGGCACACTGCGCGATGAGCTTACAAACTTATCCGCATATTGTTGTAACCGCAATATAATGCAGCCAAGTATTAGGACCGTAAAAAAACCGTCTCGCGATTCCCTGTTCAATCAACTCTTTTTAGACTTTCCGGAAGTGACGCGCCCACCTACAGCTGATCGTCAAATAAAACACAGCACTGTTCACTATATAACGACAACTAGTGGGCCGCCTGTCACGTCGCGTCCTCGTCGACTAGCACCCAACAAGCTAAAAATTGCTGAGAAGGAATTTAATGACATGGTGTCGGCGGGTACTGCTCGCCCATCTAAAAGCCCCTGGTCGTCACCACTGCATTTAGCACCCAAAAAGGATGGCATGTGGCGTCCTTGCGGTGACTACAGGCTCTTAAACGCTCGGACAGTTCCCGATCGGTACCCTGTGCGTCATATAGGAGACTTCAGTCATAATCTGGCTGGTTCTA